GAAGACGAGGATTAAAGGAAAAAAATAAGGATGAACTATAAGAAAGGATTTGATAATAAAAATCATTTTTATTGTTAAATCACGATAGAAAAAAGAAGTGTTTCCTTTGTAAACTGCAACTGTTACATATTTCTAGGTTGTGAAAATAAATCACACATGTGGCAGATATGCTCGCCAACATATGACTAAAGATGAAAAATTTCCTACTGTGAATAATTTTTGCAATATATCTAATTAAAATTTACGTAATTCAAGATTTTTTAGTAAATTAAAAATCGATATGAACTAACATGGGCTATGTTTTGAGTTAATATTATTTAAATAATTACAATATGCGAAGCGAAAGAGTAAATATGTTATGTTAAATAAACGGGTTATAAACAGAAGAACTTAAAGCTTCATTCACCCTAAAGAGCATTCTGCGTATATTAATTCACTAGCTTTTTGCCTGTAGCTCGTCGGGCTTCAAGATCTTGGATTCGGGACTTTTATTATAATTTTAACTCTGGGACCGGTTTAACCCTTTTGTTCATGTGTATTTTAGTAAAATTATCAAAATCAAAGTCATATATTTATATAATGAAATCTACCTATATGTTAAGAAAAAAATATATACTTGCTTACCTTTCTGAGTTTGAATATATATTATTACCACTATACATATGTATATTGTATATACATATATTACTGTGAATTTATGGGAAAAATATTATGTGGATATTCAAAGAGAGATTTTCCAATTGGAAAAAGTTTGTGACACATTTATTCCTAGTTCCGTTCGATCTCCAATAAATCAGCCACTGAAGCAACTAAAGGACTTGTTTTCGATAAAATATATCTGAATCTTTCATCGATATAGTACTTACGAACACCTGTTATTTTAATCTTTATTTATGTGCATTACTGTTTCAAACAAAAATATGGAATAAAGATATAATAGTTATTTATATAAAGTCATGTTTCGACTTTTTTTTGCCTTACCTATAATATTTAAACTTAAATAGAACCGTTATAAGATTGCCTAAATATAAATCTCAGCCTTTTTTCTTCGACTTTTTTAAGAACTATTTGAAACTCTCAAATATTTAAGGAATAACTTGCACTACGATAATTAGAGACAGTGATAAATTCTTAAAGAAGATTTTAATTAAAGCACATGTTTAATAATCTGACTGTGGGTTGTAATCCACAACCTCACTAATTGAACATTTTTTTATACGTTCTTAATGTGATTAAAGTCAAGTAAGGAAACTGAAAATTATTTAAATTTTCTTGATATTTTGTACTATTTTTTAATACCTACAGATTAAAAAAAGTTTTTTTTATAGCGAATCAGAGATTTTAACAGTCGATATATATTTTATAAATATAAAGACATTGTAGTGCGTAACTTTTAAAGAAATAACCCATTTTAGAACTCATCTTTTTTACTAGGAAAGGAGCAAAAAGAGTAACTTACTCTATTATTCTTGACATTAACAAAAACTACAATGCCGACGTCTACTGCTTCGAGAATTTCCTCGTGTAGTTGCAATCAATTTTTACAAGCATACTTAACCTTTACTTAATCATTTTCTACCTGATTATGAAACCAGAAAGAAAACTGAATAGTTAATATAATATGTCTAAGCTATTATCCATTTCATAAAAAACAGTATCAATTTTCTTCAACATAATTTTGTAGTCATAGAAGAACGGACAATTTTTCACATTAACAGTTTCTCAGAAAGGTCAGAAAATAGCAACAATAACCATTCAAACCAAAACTTTAATGGACTCGGCGTTGACATTTATATTCCCAAAAGAAGCAGTTTCTCTATTATATGACACATAATGTCGCTCGGAATAATAACTCTGACTGTTTCATTGAACTAAATATAGCAGTTTGAACAAATAAATCAAAAACTTTTATTTATTGACCATGTTTTAAAACCGCCAATAACCGATGGAACATTATTAACTTAGACCTTGTTTTTCCTCTTGTTGCCGCATCGTGTTTTTGCATTGCGAATAAAATCAAAATTACAACACAGATTTTTTTACCAACAAAAAGTAACTAACACAGATTATATAATATATACATATTTTTGTGTTGAATATTAGTCTGGTCTTAAGATGTAACTGAGAGGATATTTACCTTCAAGTGGTGTTTAAATACCAAAAACAAATTATATAATTGCAGTCATACAAAAATTATTATTCTTCTTAAATATATTTATTTTTATATACATACAAATATATTTAAAAATAAATACCCTAATAGACAGAAATACGCAGTCAGTAAATTCAATAAGTATACAGTAAGTTATAAATAATAGATTTACAATTTTATTATTTATACCCTCACAAAACATTTTTCAGTATTTAATTTGCTTTATATTTATAAGCATGCACGATGGCAGCAAAGGGATGGTATCAAATTGGGGCTGGCGAAACATTTTTCTCCCCTTGTAATTATTGACATTTTTGGAAAGAATCTCGAATTTCTGAGGTGAAATTGAGTTAGGGTTCGTAGAAAACCATGGATAATTTTATTCTGAATGAGACATATAATATATAAGATACCATTTTAATACTTTTTTTCTGGATTTTCATAAGCTTGTCAAGGATAAAAGTAATTTCATTTCCCTCTTAAAATTAAAGTAAACAAAATCTTTATTCTCAGTTAGAACTCACTTATAAGTTTCTTTAATGCTACTGATATAAAACAGATAAAGCTACAGATATTCAAAATTAAAAATTAAATTACAAAATCATATAACAAAAAAAATAAAAGCGTAAAAAACTATACTGAACGAAAGATCTAAAAATATTTATTAAGATTTATGAAATACTACCTTTCCTTTGAGAAATTTTCTTTAAAAATAAAAATTGTTAATTTTCTAAACTAATCTAAATTATACTAGGAATATTCAAAGAAATTTCTTTTAGATATTTTTCCAAATAAATACAAAGGGACGAAGTATCAGATAAATATAAAAAGGATTTTCCTTTTTTTTGTATCAACTTACACGCTCATTTATAGTTTATACATATATGTAATTATGTTAGAAACTAAAATTTTCATGATATCTAAAGTAAATCACGAGAATTATTAGTAATAAGTTTTTAGTCACGAGCATAATTTTAATGAAACTTTGATTAAAACCTATTAACTGATTTACTACATTATTTTACATTTACTCGTTGTTGTTTTACTTTACAGGAACAACTGTGTTTTCATATCGTCTGCTCGGGATAATGGTTGCTGTAAAGTAATCGAAACGTCGGGTAAAATATAAAATAATATTTTAAATATAATAAATAGTTCAAGTGAAAGTCACGCTTTCATTAAATTAAAAAAAATAATTATTTATATCAAAACAAAACCTGAGCATCGTGGTTTTTTTAAAGATTATATTAGGACGACTAAGGCACTTAACCTAGTACGAGTAATAGTAGGCCAAAAATGCCTAACATCCTTTTTGATACTCTTACACTCTCAGGTCATACAATATCAACCAAATATATCTAGGAAGCTTACTAAATGAAAAACACTGCATCGAAATTGGTAGATGTATCCGAGAGCTATAATGCCACAAACAGATAGAGACACACACACAAACATTGACATAAAACTTATATGACTCTTGGGTCGTGTGTTTAAAAAAACACACAAAACTTCAAATTACTTCAACACAGAATTTTCACATCCTTGTAATTAATTAATTACTATATTAATAAATAAATCTTCGTACCACCTTCCAGATATTATAGATCGATGTACTTTGTCTATTAGCCGATATATCAAGTATATTGATCGTTCCTAGTTACTAACCGAGGGTGAGAATTGTGCGTTGGCAACGTATTCAACTCTAAATACCTATTTGTTCATAAAATTAAGTCCCATCTCAATAATACCTATAACATAATTAAACTATTTCAATCCTATTATTCGAGATAAATATTTATTTGAATAAAATTTTGTCTAATTTTATTAACTATATTGAACCGACTTAGCGACTCATGGCAATAGGGGTTGGACGTTTGGAAAATATAACATAGAATTATAAAGATGACACAAAGACCACCTCTATCTCTAGTTAAATTCTCTATTATCTCGCCTCAATTTTATTTACAAATAGAAGTTTAATTAAATCTTTCTAGATTACCTACTATTACAAGACAAACAATTTAAAAAAAATAACATATTAATAACCATAAACACTTAATACAAATAAGTGTTAACAAATAAAAAATTATATCACAGCCGTAAATCAATTTATGTACAAGTGAAAGATATTTTTTAAACTTTTTTACTTGAGGTTAGTTAAGTTAACTCATAAGTAAATAGATGTTACCTCTCCCCGTTGCTTACTACATACAAACTTTATAAGCCATACATAATCAAAATAAAACAAGGTTTCAAAATAGGAACTCATTTATTTACATACATCCGAATATTTACAAAGAAGCTCATTACTTTTCTAATGAAATGGCAACTTGAGCAAATAATATAATTAAGTAAAAATATTACGCATACCTTAACAACAAATACAAAAGAAGAAGTAAAAAATATTGTATTCTTATTAAAAGAATACAGAGTGTTTATAACAATGACTTTAAAATGTAGACTACGCTTTATATAAAGTTCCTTATCTTTAAAAGCTAAAAGAAATTTGATAATTACACTCCTTAGTGAGTTTTAGCCTTAATGATATACCAATTAAACTCTTAAATCTAATCCATTCATAAGCAAGTAAGGATTTAGATGCCAATGAGAAATCAAAGAAATTCTTTGGACTAATTAATACCTTCTAAAATGTACGTTTCCTGGAAGTATTATCTAAATTACTATTGACTTCATGCCTCTTAATTGCTAATAATATTGTTAAAAAATCTTAATAGAAATATTAAAAAAAACTTGTGACATGGAATGTTTATATCACAATATCAGCCCTGCATCTGTTTTACATTACGTGCAATAGCTCATAGTAAACGGGACGGAATTTCAAGAGATGCTATAAATTCATATCGTCATCGGATTCGCTCTCACTCGAATATTTATTAAGAGCCTTGTGAATTTCTTCTTCAATCTCAATAGCGCTTTGAAGTTTATCGTCAACCGCTAATTTGTTATATGCAATTTTGATGTTTGAGTCGTAATTATTTCCAAAGCATATTCCCATCCGTTTTAGAACAAAAGCCAGAACTATATATATACTAATTAAACTGACTGTCACAAGAGCTATCGTCAATATAACGTTCATTTTGTAATGCCATTCAGCGTTGGTTATGTGAGGCAGAACAGTTTTTGGATAGCAGTAAAATTTTGGTTCTACGTCAGTTAAGTTAAAGAGTTTAGCGTCTTCTAAACAAGAAGAGCATTGGTTATTATTGGGACCTGTACAAGTGGCGCAGGTGTAATGACAAGGTAGGCATATTAAGGGAGCTTTTGAAACATTTGCAGCTGGTTCCATATCAAAAGCCTCTAATGCAGTGGATCGAAAAACATCACCCTGACGTTTCATAACGACAGAAGAATCGCCTGTTTCCAGATAAGTAAGGTTACGTCTTCGTGAGCTGCGCTCCATTAAAATTTCGCTGGCATACGTCCCGGCCGGACAACGTTGATAGCAACGACCGTCGTACAAGTGCAAACCCTTCGCGCATTCTAGTGAGAGAGAGAACAAGATGTTTAAATATATGAGCAAAAAGGAGATAGTCCGACACCACCCAGCACCGTACCAGCGTCCATGCAGTTGCGTTTCTTGAAAGTAGATCGTATGATGCAGAAGATCCATACACGAGGCACGAAGTTTGCAGATGTTGTTATGAAAACAGGATTTGATAGGAGCGGGGTTGGTAAGTAGAATCTCGCCACTGATCTCAAATAATTTTGTTTTCCGAATTATAAATAAAACAAACAGACGTTAATACAAGTCAGACATGCACATGTTCACATGCACAAGTTTTTAAAGTAACAAAATTAAATGAAATCAGCATTATTAAATTACGACATGTTGAGAAGAAGTAAACTTAAATTCCTTCTGAATCTCAAACTGGTCAAAGACAAGCACGGATTATTTATATGTTAGCACATTCAAAGCAAAGCGTTTCATGCAATCCACAAAACATAAGTTGAAAACATTGTTATAGAAAATTTAACGTCAGCTTGAATTAAATTAATAATCTTTAGGTACACTTGTATATAACATTAAAATAAATAAACAATGATCAGAGACAAGACTCGACATACACATATCAAATGAAAATCTATTGATATTTTTGTAATAAAAGATGTTTTATTATTATTTACCATTCACATATTTTCCAATATATACAAATTATTCCACATTTACAGTAATAAGTACATTTTATTGGATACACTACATTATGCCGATCGATGAATTTTACAAGTGAAGGTACATCAAAACTGTTATAAAAACACTTTCGACACATCCAAGACTCAGTAACTGCTTAACATTATATATCGCCCTACAGTAACTTACACTAGCGTGATTTTAGGAAGTTACTTTACACCTTAACTCTATATACCAGTCGATGAGTAATGTTGAATTTTCAGTCATTTATAATTTACATGTATGTGAGCAATTTGTACAAGTCTCCAAATTTATTAATGCCGTTACTTATTTATTATTTACAATTGTATTAGATGATCTATGTTATATGGATTGGCAATCACTCTTATGATCACAACCACAATACACAATTTATACTAATATTCTCAGGGAGGCTATGTATTGTTCAAATTAATTAACATCTGCGACAATCTTATAAATACAGTCTTGTAAATATTAACGATATCATAATAATTGATATTTCTATAGTAGTAATGATACAGTTGAGTGGAAATATGTTTGAAAAGGAATTAAAATGGTAGATAGTTAATAAAATAACAAGGTAAGTTTGGGCCTTGTGCGAATCACGACGTATCTTGTTATTTTGTACCAAATGATTTTCTCTTTTCGTAAACTACATATGTATAGCGTATGTATATGTATTGGTTATTCCTCAACAGAATGTTTGAAGGACAGAAATACAATAAACAAAAAGAAATTATGATAAGATTAAATTTTTAAGACTGTCACAGAGATAATATTAAATACAATAAATAGTTTGAGAAAAAAACTAAACTTATTGTAATAGATATGTCACTTTTAATATAATATGTAATGAAATCGTAATGGCGAATTTTCGTATATATGAACACTAAATGATCATTTATTTGAGATATGGGTATATTATTGAAAATATCGCCAAAACGCCTAATAACAAACTTTAAGCTAAACAATTATATTTCTATCTATTCGCTTTCAATAAATAATAGATATATATAGAATAAAATAAATGCGTAACATTTGGTATCGTGTTCAATGGACTGCTCTTTATTTGGTAACAACGTAACAATTGTAAAAAATAACTTTATTGTAACAGTTTGAAGTAAGAATAAATTATAACATTTATACTATGAAGCAAACTTATGAAGGCCACCCACGGTCATATTATTTATATATTGAAAATTCGTTTACAATGTTCAAATTGATGAAATATATGATATACATAGACATATAGGATGACCGGTTCAAATAGAAGCATAACAATGAGCCGCAATATAAACTTTACTAAGTACGGCAGACATTTTATAACTAAGTAGCCATTTTTACAGACAATAAAAACGTATTTACTACTATAATCACTCCTCATAATGCAATTTATCGTGCAAAATGGACGTTTTTATTTTGAAATACATATAAATTTATGTAATTGCACTTTTCACTAGCTCGTTTTTTACCGATTAATAAGATGAAAATACAAATAAACTATTTGTTTACTGGACTTTTTGCAAGTACAATTTATATACATACAAGTCACATTGCAGTCGTTCATACATGTATTAGCTAAAGTCAAGTTATATATAAGTATAGTTATATATAATATATAAGTATTGAACACCATCGAAGTTTTCAAGTAACGCTATCATTAAACACTGCGATTTTATATAATAAGCGGCTACTTATTTACGTAAAACTAACAGGTGACGTATCCAGTTTTTATTTTAATACATAACAATGACAAAAAAAAATATAAAATTGTAGTTTAAAACAGATAATTAAGTACAACGCCATATCTATTATTGAAACATAAAAATTATTATTATAAAATACTTGTACTTATATTTAATTAAAATCACGAGCAGAGTAGGTACTATTGCGCCAGAATCAGGTCGGAGTTGTTCAAGCATGGTGCCCTTGGCGGTCTATCACACCGTACCGGTAGTTTGTTACTAGTTGTTAGTGTTAACTCTCTGCGCGGTCGTCTGCTTAAATAAATGTCTGTGAAAGCGTCAGCCGCGCAGAAAAGTATGAGTAGTAAGAACAAACCTAAACAGCGATGTGGCGGTTGATGTGTGAGTGTGGCGCAACCGCTCGAGACCGTACCCGCTTCCGCTCCTGCTTTGAACCCACCTTCAACCGCTTGTCCTTCCTCACGGATCTATTACCGAAGTATTGACATTAAGGAAGTGATAATAAAATATAAATAAATAACATAGAAATGATTCTTTGTGTCAAAAACCTTCTTTATATATTTTTTATTATTTAATTGTCATGGACGTCTTTAGAATTCGCATATACAAATTACTGTTAGGGAATTCTGGACTTAAAATAGTTGCTGAATGTACTTCAAATATGATTCACACTAAACATATATTAATTAAGTTAGGAGAAAAAATATTTATTAAACAACAACACATATTACAAATGGAATTAAAATAATTATTGCTGAAGTAGTACCAACAGTTAGACAAAAACTTTTTAGTAGTCCTCGTAAAAGAGAATAGATACATTAAAAACTTTGATCTTGTGAGAAGCTCAAAGGTTGTTTGTTAAATTCAGACTATTAGTTATTAAAGTTAATTATCGCGAAGGAACAACAAAAATAGAGTTGATCATTGTTCTCATACCGAATTAAAAACGTCTTCACCTCTACTTCAGCAATCGAAATATCTAAGCCAAAAGAAATCTACATGTACTATGCTTATTGATTTTGAATTACATTTTTATGTTGAAAAAATAATATTCTTAATATTACGAATATTGTTTACTTAAACCATTCATTATTATTTCGTAAATTTATCGGCAAAATAAAACTAAACTCTTATTAAACTGATTGTAATTATATTATATTATATGCTCATAATTTATAATTGTAGCAATGATTGTAAGTTGATCTTTCTGGGCTTTTCGACGAGGTATATACTACAGTTTAAATTGATGTTCTTTTGTAAAGGGTCATATAGTAATTTAACTGATATAATACTCGCTGGTCAATATTCTTCCGAACAAAATTATAACGGCGTCATTTATACTTTATAATTACTGCAATATTACAACTAATCAACACAAAACCTTAAAAAAGTTTTTATATAGACTCTCCTTGCTATTACGTTATCCATAAATTGGATATCGTTTAAGGTCTGTTCAAGGGTTTTCGAGTTAATCGTATTGACAAGCCTAGACAGTTGGATAATATATGATAATCCTTACCGCATGAGAATCGTGCCAGACTAGAGCCAAGTCATCATCTATGACATTCTGGTTTACATCGGATGGTATAGCGCTCCACACGGTCCCGGGATTAGTTCCCACTACGTTACTTTCAGTGGACACATCGCTTTCTTGTGCAGGTGTTTCAGTTCCATAGAATATAAGCTCCCACTGAGTCAAAGGTCCAGCTGAATAAGAAAAATTTCATGGTATTTTTTAGTACAAATGACACAGTGTTCCCTACAATTATTATTGACTAAAAAAGAATGTTTAATCCTATATGTATTTTTAACTCAAAAACTATTGAAATACAAGTAAAGGCATTCAAAATGAAATATAATAAATAAACACAAAAGGCGAAACATAAAAGGCTGTTATGATCATACAATTTATGAATTATTGTTTATGATATTTTATTTGTTAAAATCAAAAGCAAATATAAATGTGAAAAATTTCAAGCGAAATTTACTGAACTAATTTAGCCTAAGAATATTTCATAAATATGTAGAAAATAAATATAAAACACTACGAAATAAAAGAGAATTACACTACGATGTGTTAAGCAATTAACTTTTGAAACAGTCTTAGTTTAGCGAGACATTATCAAATAAGTTCTGCGACGAAATAAAATTAACAACGCAAACACACGACATGCAAAACTCCGGAACAAAACTAAATCTCGTGCAAGCACAAACTATTCGGAGGTTTAATAAAACGCAAAACGTATCAACGGACAGCATGCAGGTACCGTTGGCTTGCAGCGGCGCCGGGTATATTCTTTGTATTTTCGGATATTGCTCGAACAGATTTGACATCTTACGCCCTCTGACGTCAGACAAAGGATCTGTCAAATCCCCTCTCAAATTAAGGCTTAAATCCGGCGTCGTAGATGTTGTCAGGCGTGAGGTCGTACTCTCTATGGGTGAGCGCGTTGCGGTCGTCCCTGTTTTTTCTGCGAATTTCTATTGGGGTTCTTTGAATTCTTATTTTTTTTTCTTTTCACAAGTCCCACTGTATAAGTCTGAACTATAGGCACTGGCTTTCCTCTGTTTTTTTACGCCCTGTTTGAACTACAACGGGTCGGGTCGCATTGCTCCTATTCCGGATTATTGGATTTCTAAATGGTATAGGATCATTTTTAGCAGCCGGTGTGCTTGTTCCATATAATGTTAACGACCAGTCTTGTAAAGTCGCCCGACCTAAGATATCGAAAGTAAGAAAACATTTGGGTCCCATAGCTCTCTAAATATATAAAACGTTAACTTTTATGAACTTTCTCTTAGTGACTAAATATATTTCCAAAGTCGACTTCGATTTATAGACTCTTTCTAGATATTAGTAAAGTTGGAAATCTCTTATGGCTTAAAGTAAAAGTTTACCTCCCAGGAGATAACGTTGTTGACATTTGACATGCACATTTTTTTTGCAATATTCATACATCTATTCATGATATGAAAGTTTCATTTAAATCGATTTTCTAATTATATCAAATAATTTATATATACTTTTTTTACAAATAGTTAAAAATTACTATACTTTATGCAACGAATTTTTGTATTCTAAATGCACCTAAACTTTATAACAATTAAAGTCTATATTACATGTATAGTTTGAATTTACAATACAAAATATAAAACATGAATACAATACCTCATAATTATGATATTATAAATCATCTATATAACGATATAGACTTTTGTTAGTTTTTTTCGAATACTGGATGTATACGTAATGTTATAAGCTTACCCATATATCTTCCTTCATTCGAAACCTCCAGTTGCCAGACTCCGAGAGGTGACTCTCCCCACATATGAACAGACATGAATGGCCAGGCGTTGAAACCGGCTCGAGAGGAATCACGGGGTCTGAATACATAGATTAAAATATCTTATATCATATATATTTACATGCAAACATAAAATATTTATAGCGACGATTAGATATAGCCTTTTAAATAAAATAGTTCTTATAAAGTTATCTTAAATTTTTAAATAAACATTTATGGAAGACAATAGTCCTATATCTTGTATATCGTAGTCAGAAAATTAACAACATAAATGCATTAACCCCAAAACACCGATTAAGGCTGCATAATTTAAGAACTACGGAAATTAAATGAACAACCTCTCGCTTACACAATGCTCGTTTTAATCCTGATTTTTTTGTACCAAATTTACCTTTCGAATTCCTAAATTCTCGTGTTGTTGTAATACAAAATAATAATATTGAGGCTAAATATTCATATTATTTAATAAAGTAAACTCCGAAACGAAATTCATTTAAAATGACTGACAGTAATAATTAAAATAATTTTACAGAAAACAAGGAATCTGACTTTAAAAACTCATTTGTACGGCATATAGACTAATTTAATTAACATCCCTACGCCACAAAATTTACAAGTAAAGACGCACAAAGTAAAATAAACGCGTAAGGTATAAATACATGTAATGTCTCACCCATATATAATTTATTTGCGCCGTTACGTTAAAATAAATTTTATTGAAACGTGTTAGAAACTAAAATTACATATCTTCATTATGTCGAGAACGGAGCACGGGTGAACTGAAATGAGGTTTTATTGCTACGTATGCTGTTTCACAGTGACAAAGTACGCCACTGACTGGCTTGAAGTTCAGTAATTGCACTATAAGTTAGTCGAATGGCTGGAAGTAAGATATATGGCAAAGGAGGTGGAGAATGGTATACTAATGACCCTAATTGACACTTAAACAATCGGAATTGGTTTTAAATGTGAGTCTTAAGTTTAGCTTATGATTTATTGACAGTATCATACTTCAAGACATAACAAAAATAGGATATTTTAATACAAAGCAAACGTCAATACTATTTTCAATCCTATTTGTATATATTATAAGTCGTTAGAGTGATTATGCAAGATTATAGGTATGTTACACAAAGCTCGTTGTATTGTTCTGCCGTCAGCAGCTGGTGCAAATGTTCTCTTTAGTCGCTCTATGTAGTCAAACATCTCTTTGATAATAGGAACAAATAGCGTCTCTTATATAATATATTTCCTTAGTCTCACGTTATAAAGAATAATATACATAGAAAATTACAAAATTATTCAATTACTAGTAGGTAAAAAAACCTTATTGTTTTAATAAGAAATATTTAACTAATATGCTATTAAGTCTTATAATTTAGATTAGTTATACCCACCTTGGAGCGAGCAATGTCACTCTAGTTCCAGCAGGTGAAGTCAACGCAATTCGAAGATCTCCTCTTCGTGCAGCGGACAGCGATACTCGAGCTTGAACGTGTTCCAAATAGTTTACTCCTGGACATGCACCTACATTTAGCTGCGAAAAATACCACATATATGTAGAACTCAATTTTCCACACCCTGGTTATCAAACTGGTTATAATTTCTTACATGAAGTGTTATAGATGATCTCGGTGGCACCGCTCTCTGTGGTCTAGGAGCAGCCAACTCACATCGCCTTTGAGTTGGAACTGTTTTCCATGTTCTGGCTAGTCGGACCATGCCAGCTGCGTCGAGCAACCCATATCCGAAGGAATGTGACACGTTCCTACCAACGCCGTTAACCTTCCAATCACCACCTAGGCTCAAACGCTCCGGTCTGGCAGTCCGAACCACTGAGTACCAAAAAATATAAAGATAAATATAGAAACAAAGAATAGGTAGATCTGAGAATCGATTGACATTTATTATTCATACTCCTAAATGTTAAGCATGGTGCATCCTTTAATTTTGTTGTTTACTTTAGTGACAATGTTTTTTGTTTTCATTTTTTTATGATAAAGCTTTCAAAATACATACAAATCCGTATTCCTCATTTTTTAATTCTACACTTCATTTTTTGGCGAGAGAAATTGCGAAGTCATACAACATTTAAGAAAACTTTTAATGTTAACCTAATGTACTCTTAGCTAAAGTTATTTGAAATTTCAGGTCGTCTGTTAATCTAGTGTTATATACGAAGTTGTACAATCAAAAGTCTAATTTTACTTTATTACCGCTCACAAGAGACGTATGCCTCCATCTGGAAAACCAGATCAGGGGATTAATATACTAAAGTTTTGGCAACACATATCACAGATGGCTTTAAATGACTTTTAGATATAAAACGAGCAATTTGAAAATACTACTTAGAAATAAATACTTATTTTAACTGCATAATTATTTTAGGCTAAATGTACAACTAAAATAACCAATACGATACAGTATAGTGTACTTATTTAATGGCCACTCGTCAACGTCTTGAGTGATTAATTAACATCTAGTTTTCTCAATTCTGTTATTATCAATATCAAGATCCAGTCGTAGAAAGGTTTCAATAAATTTTGTATATTGCCAAAAACCTTCAGATATAATCATACTTATATATTCATATAATTATATACAGATGTGTATAATTATATGAATATAATAAGTACATAGATATATTAGTCGACAAAACAATGAAAAGCCTTTTTTCTTGAGTCATCTTTCGTTTGCAACAAGTACGTAAATATTTCGAGGAATAGCCATACAGTTTTCTGACTATCGTATAGTATGTTTTTAAAATCCAATATATTTATCTATTGTGTATGATGCAACCAATTTTGTCATCCACAATAACCATCTTGAACTATTTTCAAATTATTTCAAATTTTTTTTTCCATTAACACCAAAGTCGTCGTTAATTTATTTTCTTATATTCAATATGGGATTTCGATCGACCACGGGATTTCTTTTGGAAGTGAAACTTTTCATGAGTTATTGTATTAAACAAGAAAGTTCGGAATTGCCCTGTACAGTAGCTTTTATTGATACAAACTAACACAAAGCTATTTGAGTATGTCAACATCCATAACGCAATATTCAAAGCTTCACATTTTGTGAATAGGCGAATAAATCATTTTGATATTAAAAAATGACAGAAAATTCATTTAGAAATACTACAAAAACGGTAGAATATTGGAAACAAAAAACAAAAATTAGTAAAGTTCGTAAAAAAAGATAAAACGTTTGATTATTTTAAACTTTAGTTTTACTATGCAATGAAATACTTTCGTTAACACGAGGTACATATAAGATGCAAAGTTATTCATAAATATTCAAAAAGCAAATTTATGTCACGTTTAAACTAGATTTAAACTTGTGAAGTTTCTGTTTATCACGACTGAATTAAACACATCCTTCCGCCACGGATGTCAGTATGATAGCATTTAATAAGGCTATCTATTTAGAACGAAAAAAACAGCTGCATTAAATAGAAAATGTCTATACAAATAGAAAAACTAATGCATATTAAATACAATTATATTATTTTTGCTCAAATATCGAATGAACAATTATTTTAATGTAAAACACAATTTATCTCCATTTGAATTATTTTTAAATAGGTACAATCAACAATTCAGTGTAACAGATTTAATTTCAATTTCAGAATATATCGTTCTCTAGAGTATCTAACAAACTTATATATAAATTGTTACTGAATTTGAAATAGGAATATTATTGATATCAGATTTAATTTCATAAATGTAATTAATATGCATATTGCATATATCCATATATGTATGTATAATGTTTCAACCAAACTTAAACGATTTTTAATAAGTAAGCAAACTAAAGAGAATTGTTAATTGCACTCTCGTTTAATGCTTCATAAATATTGGATTAAAGTGAATCACATATCAAAATTTCTTCTAATATTTTATTGAAATAATTCTTAATAAAACATTATTAGAATTAATAATGAATTAACCTTCGATATCTTAGAATATGAATAAAGAGGTCAAATCAAAAAGGATCAATCATAGTCAAAAATTCTAACGTTGCAGTAAAGATAAGGATGGATGTTGATAGAATAGATTATACTAAGAAGGATATAAAATCGGAAGAATTGCTACATATTTTACCAATATGCTGCATGTCTCTCCATGTGAGATCCTTGTTAGCTTCTAGAGCTAGGGCGCATATTCCCGCTGCGAGAGGAGCAGAGGCTGAAGTACCAGTGTGACCTGTTGTGCACGAGTGATGCAGATCTGTTGTCACCACCTACGTAGTAAAATATTACTAAAATTGGACTATCTACAGATGATGATATCACTCTGTTCACTGATATGAAATCTAAGCAAATATGCTTTTGTCTTTGGCAATAAACTTTACCTGTTTCTCATCAGTAGCCCCGGAGCTGTACGTAGCTGCCAGGGTGGAACTACACATTTCCGAATACCAGGGCACGTCCCCTCGCTCTGTAGCGGATGATATTGAGAGGGTCCATATGGAATTTGTGTAGCCATCACAATTGCAATTATCGTGCTCCCGGCCGCCATTACCCGATGCCCACACGAATATCGATCCTTTACCGTTTCGACCCTATGTTGTAATAAAGAAAATTATTGCAAAATATATTCTCCTTCCCGCGATATTATATAACTTAGATTAAAGTTATACAGAAACGTCTATATTGGTCTCATAATGACTTTATAGCTTAATACGTGCTAAGGTTTAGGTAGATAGCAGGATGTTATGGTAATTTTCTCTATTTTATCAAGAGCAATTGTTTGAATACATAAAAAACGATACATAAGGATAATTTATTAACTGATTCAATTGAAGGCAATCAAATATCCCCAATGAAAATTACATATTTGAAACCTGAATAATATCTCTAATAACATATTTATGTATGACTTTGGTTGGCAAGGATTTAGTTAATGATTTGTCCGCCAAAATATTATTCTTATACTACTTTATTGCATATAACAAGAGTTTTTTTTAAATTAAAATAAGTTTTTCAATATACATTCTAAAAACTTGAAAACTTAAACTACATTATGAGGACAATTGTAACTTTTTTAATTTGGTTTCTAGTAAGACCGTCGCTTCGATGTCCTTCTACATTTTAATAAAAACGTAATCGAAGCTACAAGCAGACTATTAAAAGTAAAAGGAAGATATTTTAAAATATATGTAAAAACCCCAGTGGTATTTTATCATAAAATTCATCTCTTTCTCAATCTCAATGGATTTCTTTATCTTATAAAAGCTTATAGGAGAATAAAGAATGTTGTTGTTGTCATGAAAAAAACAAATAATAAATATAACCCACCTCCAAAAAGATTATGGCAATGTTCTAATGTAAACACAAATTTGTGACATCATTATAATGTTCCTTTTTGTAGAAAAATATTTTTTACACTATCCAAAAGATTAATTTTTTTAAGTCTTTTAAAACAAAAAAGTACCTAGATACATTATTTTGTATAAATAAAATTAAAATTACGTAAACATATTTTCAGCATTCATTTCGATTATTCAATGCTTTATATATGATAAGTGAAATATAACAACAAAAAATATTTACATAATCTATATATAATTACACTGTAACCAAACAAATCACCATGAGAGTTATTTCTAAAGGATTTCATGATATTAAGTCATTAAATAACAAGAGAGTAACATTGTTTTCCAGAGTCCTATATTATAACGAATACTACTTGGTTATGTTTAACGTATTTTATATGTATTAATGTTTTTTATTGTTTTTACAAAAAAAAAAGTATAAAGCTCAGAGTTTATCAAAACTACTATTCAAAATATAAATTAAGTTATAGGTTGACTATTATATACATAAATTTAACTGGCCTTTTAAAGTTTATAACAGAGTTATTTTTTCAAGAAGTTCGAGGTGTAATTATGATATATTAAAGAACTATCATTTATCAGATATTATAATCGAATTCTTTAATACCTAAATACGAGTATGAATTTACATCAAATTGATTCGGTAGTTTCTATATAATTTCTTTTCTTAATAGTAAATTACTTATTTACATATTATAATTTATCTTTTGCGTTTTTAAAATTTTTCTATTTTAAAAATATTCAATACTTTGTAAGATGAAATAGAAAATAGTCAACCCTTCAAAGATGAGACTAATTCTTCAAATTTACAAAAAAACCTTTGTATAAATAATAATAAAGTACTTCTAAATAATAACCAGCTTTCTATAACCCTAGAGTAAAACAAAAACTACAAAATTAAGAGTTATAATAGCATTAAGTTTTTAAACAGTTAGGTATTTCCTTTGAAAGAAATATCTCTAAAGAAATAGTGATCGTAATAAAATAAGTCACCTTTGTAACACCTTCAATGAACGCTCTGGTGGCCAGTTCGCCCGGTCCGTCAACTGTTTTGCCATCGTCATCAGGTCCCCAGGAGGCGCTGTATATATCTACATGTTGAGGATTAAGACTCAAAGAACGAGCCTCGACCGCATCTGTCACGTCCCCATCTAACATTCTTACCCCTGCGGGAATAATTTTATACGTTAAAATCAATATAAATGTCTGAGTTGTTATTGAAATGAAAACAACTTATTATGTATTGAGGGAAGGAAAACATATATTTCCCTGAAAACGAAAGCAATCGAAAGGAAGCGAATTGTTAGTAGAAAATTATGTTGTAGAAAGTAAAAGTTCTAGCAAGAGTTGACTTCAAAAAGCTAATTGCAATTTCATTGTTTAAGCTTTGAGTCCAAAGGTTCGAGTTAATTTCAGGTATAATAATATTGAATTTCATTCCTTGGTATTTTTAAATATATAGTAAATACTATTTAAAATTCAGTTTTCAGAAAAATAATATTTGAAACTTAATTTTGTAAAAAGGACCTAAAGTTAACATTGACGTTTAAGAGCAAGTCAAAAAATAGATTTTCGTCGTAATAATACAACAATCCTTAATAATGATACAGAATTACGCAATAAATTTTCTTATCGAAATTGAGTCAACTGAAGCCCAACAAAATAATAAGGAATATTGAATAAAGATTTCGTTCATTGTAATATCAAACTGAAGAGATACAAACATATCAAACCCCTTTGGTACACAAAAACATGACAAAACAACCCAATATTAACTCTGTTAATACTATTTATCTATGAATATTATAAAATTATGTTATTTTAATACTGTTCTAAGATTTTATCATATTACCAAAGCATATAAAGCTCTAAAGAAATCTTACTTGTATTCTTAATACTTAAAAGTAACACGTTACCCTTCGTGAGTCGAAGAAATAACAAAGTTGACGTACAACATTTGATCCTATCAACAACATTTACACATTTCTAACATAACTCTGAAACAAAGTTACGATATTTAAATATATTTCAAATATTTTAAGTCATGTTAAATAAAATAGTTTGTGCATTTTGCTTTTAAATTTTGACTGTTTTTAGTTTTTGAATAGTAATTGAAAGTGATTAAAGTTAGTGGGTACTGAATGAATTTATATTAAACATCATTTCACAAATAATGTCAAGTGTTAGCAGTTATTTTAAGCCATATATTTTATATTCAAATTATAACATTAGAAACATAATTTGTATTTTCCTTGATATTTAATGCCGTATATATTACATTGAGTGCAGTCAAATAAATTATACGATTAATAATAATGGTCTGACGTATCAAATAAAACTGAAATAAAAGAAAAAATATTTTACTTTAAAAGTTTATTCGATATTTTTTTTTTCGTTTAAATAAACTAATAGGAAATCATTCCTCTCATATGTGTCAACTCTGTATATGTTTTTGCGTGACTTTGCTGCACACCAATAAACATCGATTAAATAATAACTTTAATGAATTTAGGAATAGAACCATCAATACTTTAGACCGTTTCTAAAGATTAAAAGGAGGCATAAATTAATATAATTATGAAATAAATTATAAACACAAAGAGAAAAATAATAATGTCCTGCATTAAAGTCAAAAAGATGTTGGCAAAGCAATTTCACTACTAATTAATTTTTCACATATGCAAGGCTGCAATGAGCGTTGTCGCCATTCTGACCCAGAAACGTCTGATTATGCAAAATGTACTTATATCTATTCAAGTGAGAGTACTTTTATGTTAATTTTAATTGGAATCGTAGTCTTATTAAAAAGTTCTAAATGTAAATAGAATTGCTCAAAGTTCGTTCACGGTAACTCTACACCATCCACCCATGAACTAATAGTATATGTATCTATGTTCCATGTGCGTCTTTTTAATTTTTTTTTTATCATTTTCTTTCGACTTTCATTCATTATAAATATTAATAAATTAAATAAGACTTTCACTATTTTCAGCTGCTTTCAAATAAAATACTGTTATGAATTCCAAGTATCATTATGTTTTAATTTGTATTTGTGATTAATTTCGTATTATGTTTTGCTTTTGCTGAAAGAATAAGAAATAATAATTCAATAAAAAACTCGTACGATGTAGTACCTACGCTTAGATCATTTGATTTTCTTGAAGTGTATTAGTATCGATATTTTTCCAATTTATAAACTTACCAGGTTAAAGAGAATCTCTACGATTTTTCTTATTTACTTCTTATCATAACAAAAATATTATTTATTGAACTATCAAAGAGTCAAATAAGACAAAGACACAAAAGAACAATAAATACAAAAATGTCCAAACGACCTTCTTATAAGTAAAAAACAATCTCATCTAAAAAATATCTCCCAAAAGTTATAAAAATATTGTTTATTTACAGAAGCGATATCGGTGTACAACTGATACATAATACATCTACTATTGTAAAAATACGTATAAGACAATCGTAATTCATTGATTATGAAAACACTGAAAGGAAAATATTTGCAATAAAGAATAGATATACTTAAAAATCTATTAAATTATATTATAGTTATAAAAAATGAATAATATACGAGTCTATTGTTAATATCTTTGTTTCAAACACACTTTAATATTTACAATGCTACTATTATCAAGGCTAACGTACTATAATTTTACCTTTATTACAATTATAATGACAATTACTTCGATCTATGCAAATAAAAGCTCATTATTTGAAATCAATCTAGCTTTCAAGCAAAATCACTGAAAAATTTTAAAGTAAAAGAAAATCGAATACAGTTGGTAAAATTTCTTAACATACCTCCAACGCTGGCTTCATAGGCGACACCAACAGCGCAGAGTGAGTTGTTAGCTGTAGCAGCAACCTCGCCAGCACATCTGGTCCCATGTCGATTGGAGTCTATCATGTCGTACCGTGGCTGAGGATCTGAGTCTTGAGAGTTCACATCATATGAAGCCATCGGATCCTAAAATGATAACTGTTGTTTATTTTGTTCTTACGAAATCAGTTTTACTATATAGTCATCTAAGCGTGAAGGATAATATGTAGAAAGACAAAATTCTACTTCGTATATTCATACACCCCTCCGAAATAACCTAAGTATAATATTTAATCAGTGTAGCTAGTAGCTAAGAATTAATTCTAAATGTCTTAATTTAATTTGTTAATAAAAACATATAAGTTTAAATTAAAACCTAAACATTTCGATGTGATATTTTGATATTATATGGCATGAATTTTATTTACAAAATTAAAAAGCCTAGCGTAAAACAGGAGCATTTCATAAGTATTTTTAAATAAAAAACAGGTAAAAGGAGACCTAACAGTAAATTCCTTTTAAAATATGTATACTGAAAAAGTTATTATGAAAGCATTATTTCTAAGCTATCTAAAACTTTGGAAATATATTATTTGAAACTTTATTAATATAAAACGATTCTTCTTCAGTTCTCTCTTCTAGTCGTCACTTCGATTTAAACTATATAATTTCATTTAAATAAAGTTTAATGAAAAACTTTTTAAATAAATCAGACTCATCAAATAACGTTTAACAAGGATAAAAACGTTTTGTTGTCACGATCACAATTTCAAATTGTAAGTCCTGTATTAAAATAGAAAATTTAAATTACTACTTGTTTGTATTCGTCAAAAGGATTAATATTATTGTTAAGTTTTAAATATCAACCTGATCAAAGGAACTCCCACTCGATATGACAAAAAAATATACACAATGCATTATTATTTATTGACTCGAATAAAGGAAGTCAAGCATCCATTTAAATACATCTAATTTCGTAATTTTCTTTATTTTAAACTATTATTACCATACATAAACATGTCTCCTATTTTAAATACATATATCCACAAGCAGATTTAGAGTGTATGCATAGTATAAAGTTATTAATCATATCAAAAATAAAAAGTAATTAATTTATGAAAAATCTTTACACTTACTACTTATTTTTTTATATATAAGAACTTACAAAAACTTCATTTATTACAACGTGCTTTTTATTTATACATAGCTGTGATAAAATTTTTGCTTAGTATGTATATCGAAATAGATTTGTTATTATATTCCGTTTTCCTGATAGTTGTTACTAACGTGTATTATTATTTAATATTTTTAATAATGTAAAAACATGTCTTCTTACGTACGACAATATTACGAAACTATGTAAAACGATAAAAATATTTCTTATTTGCATTCTGGATACAGTTCATTACCGGTGCTACGAGTATTTAATATTATTTTGGTGAAGAAAAACAATATGATTTTCCTACACAATTACGTAACGATACCTAGGTATGCCTCTTAACACTTATTTGAAACATATAAAGATTAAATGATTGGACAAGTTAGTAATACTTTGTTTCATATTACGACATAGAAATCATTTCAAAAATATCACTACACTTGTTCTATTTTGCCATACATATGATCTAATCTGGAATTCTGTTCAACGCTCTGGATCCACAGCAGTAAATAAATCACAGAGACCGAAAATATATACAATACATTTTTGAGAAGGCAGACCTTTAAGTTGGTTAGCTTGTCGTAATAAATAATAAATATTATAGATAGTCGCTTCAGGAAGATACAATTTTTTTTTCGAATACCTAAATATGTAACAAATTATAGTCAAATGTTTTTGTAAGCAATATCTATAACAAGAATGCAATTTAAGATTTTCGCATGTACTCATTCATTTACCTTGTTTTAAGTATATTCTTTTGGTCCATGAAATAAAATATGAAATCATTGTTGTGTACGAAGTATACATATATTATTCCGCTAAATATTTTCTAATACGGACAGCGGATTTTACTTATTTGCAGTTTCAAGGTTCTTACGAAGAATGCTCTTTCATTTTTAGATTTAAAGAGATATATAAGTGTGTTATAATAAACACAAGAGTAAAGAGGCTAATTTTAATAGGAAAATATTTAATTTAAAAAATATTACAAGAACTTGTAGACTATAACTAATGAATATAAATACACTGTTGAGATATGCACGCATGAACTCCACTTAACGACATAATAACAAATAGTTAATAGTGATTATATTATTGTTAATAAATTTAATAATAATAAATAACCCAACTGAACTGGTTTGTTTGTATTGTACTTATATTAAATTAACTCCTACATATTTCGATCGCATCGTTACTGCTATAGAAAATTTCATATGTTTGTATTATGAAAGCTAAATGATTCGAAATGAGAAATTAAAGGAGCATTAAATTGGTATTACAAAATATATTTTTGCAAAAAACTCAAACAGCTCGTAATTTAACATTAAAAATGTATAATAGAAGATAAAATTTGATCACTGATACGTAGCATAGCATCGCGTCGTAATAACAGTGACCTGATTACACATTTTTCGAAACCCACATTGAGATTAAAGCCCAAAAGAGAAATGAATCGTGTAATTTCCGACTCGTCCGCCTTTGTTCATAATTATCGTCAGAAAATAACAAACCTGAAAACACACATTTGTTCAATTGGTGGAAAAACGATTTCATTCTTGGACCAGTTTTAGAAATACCAAGTATATGAAATTGTACTACAGTATTTTGGATATTAGGGCAAGTTGCCAGCTTATCTCGTTCACAATCTATCATAAGCGTTAGAGTTGCGACTGTAATCTTACTGCATCAACATGGTCATGTTTGTAAATAAATATGGTCTAAGGTTTGAATATTTACGCTACACTCAATACAAATATTTTCTAAGATGAACATTTATTTTTGTTGTCTCAGAAGAACCAATTTAGAAATATTAATGGGGAAAAAGACAGAAATAAGTTGAGAGAAAACTTAATATTCATATCTTTGCAGGATGGTTGTTTGTTCTTTAACTTTAATTAATTGAGTAAACAGAAGATATACATATATTACAACAAGCAATTCCAGTTTCGTGTAATTCATAACTGAATTTTAAAAGCACTGTTATTTATTTAAAGTTGCAAACAGAACTAAAACTCTAGACTTAACTGTCTTCAGTGACGGCTATTTGTTTTATGCTTACTACAGGGATTAAAGCATTTTAACTTGAATAACTTTAGATAACTTTATACATTTACATATACGTTTTACATTTTATAATTGAAATAAAAAACATGTATATACGTCAGGGTACTGCATATTAAAAAGGGTGCATTCTGTACAGAAAATAAGCCCAGGAATAGCGTATGCGAAATGTTTTGTTTTTTGGCTGTTTTTAATTGAAAAAGTAAAATAAAACGTTTTGAATAGTTTTTGTTTGCGTTATTTTAAGATCCTTACAGATAACATATGTACTATAACTATAATATTATTCTTTTGTTATTTGAAATAATAAAAATTTCAACCGTCCGATAGCATTATGAAATATTTACAAAAAAAACAACATAATTTTGTTAATTGTAATTTAAATATTAGTTCTATTTTTATTTATCGTCTTACCTTTAGTAACATTGATTTAATAAATCTTAAAAAATCATTTCAAACGGCTACAAGGAAACACATAGACATACATTACTCGTATAACACATTCACAGATATTTTTTTCGTTTGACGTTAAAGAAATTCAGAAATTCATAAGAAGCCAAGTTTAAGAATTTCAGGAACAAGAAAAATCAAGATCAAAAACGTGGATTGATGCATTTAGTTATTTTAGAATTGCACGAATAATTATGTGATATATTAACTTATCCTACTAATATTACAATTGCGAAAGTTTGTGAGTGTGTGTGTATGTTTGTTACTTCTTCACGCTCAAACGGCTGAACCGATTTTGATAAAATTTTGTATACAGGAAGCCAGAAATAACACATAGGCTACTTAACATCCCGGAAATCGGCGGGTAACACCGCGGGGCGCAGCTATGTAGTATTCCATAAATACAAAAATGACGTATGTATAATATAGCTGAACATTATAAAAATATACCGAAAGAAAGACAGATCTCAGTCTAAAGAAACCAGTTCGTGATTTATAAGTCGTGATCAGTAACATGTCGATTCTGAGACGAATCCGTTTACTTCGTTACTCATTCAAATTGTTCCTGACCCCGTAACACATTTCATGATATCAAACTTAAAACCGTTAAATCGAATGATTTTTATTCATAAGCCATGAAAATATGAGTAGGTATAACTGAATTATTTCACACATAGCACTATTTTAAACTGCTTTTGATTGTATAAATGTAATTTATAATCACTTTATAATACATTTATAATAAACAAATTTGCTGTTGGTTCATTTATAACGATAAAGTCAATGATATAATAGACAGCTAGCATAATTTTAGTGGTTTGCGGTTTTGAATAGATTCCATGGTACATAGCTGAGCGCGTTGGCATGCTTTCAAGCTATTATATCGATAGCTAATTGGAGCTTCACTTACGTAATTAGTAACTTATACCTGCTAACGATTTCCGATGATGGCTTAGTAATTGGTCAATTTATGGGAGCGGCTAATTCGATATCTTCTTTTTATTGCATTATCTATTATTCATCAACATTTTCTTCAATTCGTTATATTTGCTGCGATCGCAACATTTGCGAAATGTTTAATTTAAGAGAGAGTATTTGATAAATTGTCACAGAAGTTTTCCAGGAGAATAAAGATTCAGCGGACAGTGACAAATGCTCTAAAGTTCCAATCGCGACAAGTGACAATTGAAATATAAAAGTTGAAATTGAAGAGGGCGGTAACTTACATAATTGGAGACGAGGTCTGGATGATCAGTCTCGAGGCCGTCATCGAGGATCGTGACAACCACACCCCGACCTGTGATACCTTCCCGCCACGCTGGAATCACGTTCATATCCAAACCACCGCCACGATTCTATAAAAAAAAACAATATTATATAAACCGATCCTTCTATATAAACATTTCATTTAAACTAGTTTCAGTAAAAACTTTATTGAACAGGAATGAAAAAAATGCTAAATAATGACAAATCTTTTTCAGCTCTCCAATTCCGTCTCCAATCAGTAAAACTAGACTTGTCGTAATTTATCGGGACGTGGAAGTAATAGGAAATATTTTTGTACTAAGTAATATTATAAGTTAATTTTTTTTTCATTATAAATTACATCTGCTTATGTTTATAATATGAGCTGTATCAACACATCGCAGTAGTTTTATTGGCTAAACATTTTAAAATCTTAGTTTACATTTGATAAGTAACGATATCAATTAAATATTAGTTGTTGGATACAATTTATGTGAAATAAATAGAAGTAATTATTTAAAGTCACGCGTAACAGGAAATTAATAATAATAATAATAATCAGACATTTTAAAGTTATCACTATAAATACAAATACGAAATTTAAAGTTTATTTTATCATGTTCTACATTTTTAACAATAAATATTATTTTTAGAGAAAATAACATTTCGCAATAAAAAATATACTTAAAAAAACTTTTTTATATCAGTCAGGGCTAATATATTGTGACTATCCAACTTATCATTTTTCCCTGTACTATTTTCGAGCTTAAATGATTTGTGGCCTTATAAAACTATTTGTTTAAATAATTAACTTATTCACTATACCAACTCTATTAAAACATATATATTTCCATATATATTTTTTAACCAGAGTAAGTAGCATACTACTTCAACTGGAAGATATGTTTTATTGACTAATGAAGATTTAAAACGTAAAAGAGGAAATACTTCAGTTATAGTAATGAATTAATAAATTCAATACTACATTCACACGTTTCAGATTTGTGTTTATGTGAGTTTCATTATACGTTGTAGTATTTTGTTTTGTTTTCGCATAAATATGTGGATATTGATCTTGATGACTATTAAGAATAAAATTGAGTAAAGATACTAAATAATTGAACAAAATCTTTGCTTAAAGTCAAGTTACTACACATAGGTAAATATATACTGAACCCTAAGCAAAAGTTAAACCATACTTATGACGTTACTTTTGTTGATGTAAAGTTGTAAAAAGTTTGTCTTTAATATATTAAAACTCCACTTATTTTTCAAACAAAGTCCTTCATCTCTATGGAGCAGCGTTATTGCATTATTAGATTTTAATATCTTCAAAGCTGAGTCTTCGTCTCGAGCTCAAATATTGACGTAAGTCAGCTTTCAAACTTTGAAGAACTTTGTAACTCATTCATATAATTAATATTATATTTAATACGAGAGCGTAAAATTTTACCTACATGTATCTTCTTGACATAAGACCTTGACGTGTTCTTGATAACATCAAAGACTTATAATAGACATAAAATTGAAATGTTTAATTATGTTAAATAACTTAAATACAACATTAATTTGTTTAAACACTTTCTTATTCTGTTGCTCTCTGTATCTAAACTCTGAATATCATAAGCATACATATGTATGTATCGTGTATCGAATTAAACGGCTTACAATAAATTATAGTGCTAAGCCTTATTATGTGAAAATTATAGAGTGAACACAATTTTGAATTAAATTTGGAAGCATTATTAATCTAAGATGTAGGCACATACTTTCATTTGATTACTTGTATTGAAAGACATAATATCAAACTTAATACATGAGGACTGTAGAATGAGAGTAGACATTAACTGCAGGCTGTATTAAAGTTTGTTCCTTTATTTCTTTCCCAAACAAGATAGTACAAAGATCAACTTTGTTTGTTTAATAATAAGAATACATACCAAATACCACATGTGAGGCCACTTGGGATCGTTTAATAGAAATTTCGAGTCAGCAGAACGCGGCCGTCCTTTTACTCTCGAGTGAGACATCCTTTTAGAAGCTTCCCTTTTCAATGATGGCGCTTCCGATGAATTCGTTTCAGCTGTATCAAAAAAATTACAGTTAATATTGTTAATATACAGAGGCACATCATTTGATGTCATTATCTATTTTACAGATAAATTTAATTTGTTTTATTATAATCAACTTAAAATTGCATCAACACAGTTCAACTTCAATGATCGTTGAATTAATAGCGTTTTCAAATAATTCACTTCATCAATGATAGTTACTAGTTTCGATAAATTTTTAAAAGATACTTTTAACATGCTTAAAACTCTACGCATGAGTGAAGATTTAATGTATTAAAAATACTCCACTAACAATTTTCAAATATACTCGCTTTTAAATGGAATATTTTTTACTTTATACGGAAATAAGTAATGCGAATGCTTAAATGTTTTATGCATTTCCGTACAGCAAACAGATTATTCCTGTCATTATGTTCAGTAATAGAAGGATATAAAATGTTGTTATTGTTTACGTAAAGGATGCTTTCAAATATTTTTTGTTTTGTCTCAACAGCTGCATGAACTAATTAGTTGGAAAGAAAATAAATACAAAGTCTCGGATATCGTTAATCTAGAATCAGGAGTTTAACATTATTTAAAAAGGAATATTTAGTAGACAAAAAAAGGATCAAATTGAATGTCAAAGAATTTAATCAAAACCTATTTCATTTAAAATTAAATGAAATAGGTTTGGATTTGATACTAAACAATCAGATAATTTCTATAAAAACGTAGATTTTAAGAAATACGATAAAATTCTGTTGCAAATAATTGAAATGTGTATATCGGTAACTATTAAGTTAATAAGTCCAAAACAAATAAAAACAGGACTTTATTATTAAATCAAATGTATGTATTATGACAATGACAATATATTCAAGAAAAAAAGCATTGATAAGGGAGAATATATAAATATCTATTTCTAGTTACCAGGCTTGAAACCGTTATTTTAGATTCATTATGTTAAAATTATGAGGTAATTTCATAACAGAGGCAGAGAAAAACGTCGTTTTCACGCCCTATTTCACTTTTTTAGTGTTATTATCTATGTTTCTTATATTCAACATTATGATTCACGTCGCTCTGTCTGTCTTTTTTAAATAATTCAACCGACTGCTTTTGCCCAAACAATAACTACCATATTTTTATCAGAATCAAACAGACCGTGATGGCTTGAATCCTTGTAAATCTGCATATGTATTTATAATAAGTGCCTGTACGTTATCATCTGTCTCTTATAATAATTTATTGCTACACTGCTTTCTTGCTAAAATAGCAATAATTACGGTACTAAGATCGTAAAATTTTCACGAATAACTTAAAATTCCTTAAAAAATATCGTCAGCTGACCTGGGCTAGTGGAGTAAGATATGAAATCTCTCTTCTTTCTTGAAAGCACACGCTGCTGTTTTGCCCAACGTACTCTGTTGTCCATTTCTAGTAGATTGTGGTGCTCGTGGGCCGGTGATATAGATCTCTTCACCACGGAATTATGATGAAAATGAAAGTGGTTATCGAAGATCTGCAAAGAAAAATTGAATTAATTTTATTATTTGAACAATCTTTCTTTATCTTCAAAGTTTTTTATCTTGGATTAAATATAATACTTATGGGTATTTATTTTTTGTTTTTAGTTAAATTTTAATTCATGTGGATTGGATTAGTTTTTTGAGTATTACGTGTATTTATTCATATTAAAAAAATACTTGAACAGAAATATCAAAATATAGTGAAGAATTTTAGATGGCACAGTTTGATTATTTACTGACGGGAACATTCCCATTTTAAATTAGCTAAATGTGGTATCCTTTTCCGAAACAAATGTGATTTAACGCTTGGGAGCACTCCACGGTACATCTCATTTTTAATGTAAGCTATGGCACGTGACACCACATATACAGGCTTTTAAAGTTAATTACATTTTCACATACACGGAATAAACAATTATTTAAGTTGAAAATTTTTGCTATTCCTGCATTTTCAATTGTCCTGTATACGTAGAGTTCTCTATTATCGCAATGAAAAAATATATTACGAGGGCCTGCCACGGCTTTTATCGCAATTATAATTCCTTTGCATCTATTGTATATACAGGCTGTTTGTTCCATTGATGTCTGTCTTAAAGCACAATGATGTAATCTTTTAAATAAAATGTTTCTGGATTTTCCTTACAACTCAACTATGATTTGATTGATAACATTCACCTCTTGATAGTTATAAGATATAATTATGCCCAATAAATTCTGTTATTAATTAATGAAAGCAATATCAAAATTCATTCAGGCGTATCAAAGATAGATGATAAAAGAAACGGGGAACAGAATAATATTTAAAAATAATGTTTATATCCCACTATAATAAAAATAAGAAAAGACTATCCGGAATACGTAGCTATTTTTAATTTACTAACACAACATTAATATCATATATGTATACATGTAGCAGGATAATTAAAAATAAAGTATTAAAAATATATAAAATAGCGGACGATCAATGTTTATTGTTATTGACTACAAACATAGTAAAATCCAAAATGTTTTAGTAAAATGTAGGGTATAGTTTTATAACAAAATGTTGAATTTTTTACGTAGTTTGTTTTTGAAGCTATTGAATATAAAATTTAATTACAATCTAAGGAAAACTCTTAAGTGTGTGAAATAAGGAATAGAATAAATTCATTCAAATAAATTCACAGTGAAGAAAAAATAATATGAACCATGTGAGTATAACCTTAAGAATTACTTCAATATTAATATAAGATCTACAAAGTTATGAAAACAATCATCAATGACAGTTTATTTTAAACAAAAAAATACATAATAATCATCATTTTATATTAATATTCAAGTACTTTGAACCACTTTTATACATTACATGTGAGTTTTCAACTGCAGCTGCCTTATTTAATTATTCATCAAATGGCCGAATGCATGTTCGCTCTCACCTAAGTGCCTATTTTTCCCCTAGAGATACATAAATTCAGAGGTAGGGTACCTCGGATATTTCGATGTCGTAGGGCATTTACCTTTTCCAATCTTATAAAAGCAAGGGTGGGTCAAGAGCTCAATTTATTGTAGTTTATCGTAGCAAAAGTTTTTTTTAAAAAGAGATCGGTTTACGTAAGCGTTTTCCAAATTTTTCTTTTTATTATTTCAATATTGAAGGAAATTTTACTAGAAATTCTTTTAAACTTTGTCTTAAAACGAAATAACGCCGGCAGTAGAACAACCTCAATAAATCGTTCACTTTGTCATAAGGCAAGTCTTAGTAAGAAAAGGCGTGATTCAGTTAAAGTGAGCCATTTCAAACAGTATGAACTAGTATGAAACGGGGTCCTTTATTGCCTGAAGGCTTTGGGAATCGTTATTAACTTTGAACTTTGAAAGAAGTCTTATATTCAGATAAGTAAGATAGCTCTAAGTGTATGTGTGAGCGATAACGCCAAGGATAAGCCAAGGTTAATGACTTTTCCTTTTAGTTTAAAGCGATAAAGGTAAAAGAATTAAAACTGTGGTAGTTATGAGTTAGGATAATGGAGAAAAGATCTTTAAATACATAATTATATATTTTCTAATAAAAGTACTTAATTACTTTTAAAGAACTGGTGAATAAACATATTTTGTGTGGCTATTAAAAATTTTAAAAGGGACACATTCTAACCACAGGAGTCAAAGTCAGCCATTAAAGTGTAATACTTTTCTGAAAGACTTGAAAAGAAGTTAAGGGCCTACTTTCGTGCCAGTACTCAGATGCCGTCGGCGGGATGCGACCTGGCTGTAATTTTTAGGTGCTTTGCCATTTCCACAAGAATAATAGATACTGAACCAACATTACTAAAGTGTTAAACAATTTTTGTCGTATTGATTAAATTATAAATTATCAAAGATATTAAAGTTATCGAATATAAGATTTTAAAGTTCCATTTTTTGTTTTATTTTAAAAACATTTTATCTAAACCTATAAAACTTTACAGAATGATAAATTATTAAAAAGAAATGTGTCATTTGAATTAAAAATATCATGTTTAACTATTACAAATACACTTAAAGCTTTTAAAGATAACGACCATACAAAAGGTTACATGAAAGCCCAGACATTTTAAAAGGAAGAAGGGGAACTTGTTTTTTCTGTACATCTTAAATGCTAAGTCTAAAAGGTGAAGGTTCGATAATACGACAGAATAAAAGATTATGAGGATTTCAGCACTGCTTCTGTTGACAAAACCCGTGTTTTGCTTTTAGGATTACCAAGCCTCGCTTTCTTTTTATACTAGGTGGACGCTTCACAGAGTATATACAAGCTCTGTTATAAAAACGTAAGTAAAAGTAAGCATTAACTACTGTACAAACATTTCACATAAAAATATGAACAATTAAGAAACATTTTTTTAACATATAATTTAGGTTTTAAAAAAAGAAGCGATCAAGCATAACACTTATGTTATGTATTGTGTGAAATTTGATACAATAAAATACCTCCTTTAAATCGTCACTTGATATTTTAGCACCATCACGAATATTATATTACCCAAATTCCATTTCCCATTGTATTATGTCCTGCCATTTCAGAATCGCATGCCGACCCGACCCCGACCCACACCAACCACAAACCATTCACATTTTATACCTCAATCTATATACCTCACAAAATCCTCGCTGTAAGAGGGAAATTGCATCAAGTAAATATCTAGATACTTTACACTCCGATACGGGGGGATAAAGCCGTTGTCAGGGATACACGACCCTTACAAAATCAAGCCTCCCATTTTTTTCAAGTGTAAACATTGATCCGTGAGATATAAGTAAGATTAAAATTTATTAATAATTTCAATTAGCGTTGTACAAAATTAGTTCAAACTTTTATTAAATAAAAAGTAATTTGCTAAATTAGGACTAGAAAATGACAGTATTTAATTTTTTTCCGTCAGCAGAATAAAATACAGACATAATAAAAACGAGAAATGCTTATACAAAACCAGCGTGTGCGTGTAACGGAAACAGTCGACGGTTGTCATGGCAACGCGAGAGACCGGTAAACAATACAGCCTTCGTGAAATATGTATGGTATATGGTTGGACCACTTTCAATGATGCCCTGGAGAATATTTGGGGCAATGTGTGATATAAACGACATCTTATCTTGATATACATAAACTGGCAATCATAATGTGTTAAAATGTATTACATCAGTAAATCCCTGTCGGGAGACCCTTTATCTTGGTTTGATAATTGAATTGAGTTTGTGTTGTAGCATAAATATATTAAAATTTATAGAGACACAAATAAAGTTTATAAATCATATCAAAAATGTTTCACAGTGAAAATATCATAAGAATATATTCCCACTGGACTCTTTTCCGGCAATGTTCATAGAAGTAACTTATACCTCGACAGTCGATGTAGAAATAATTTTTGCGACATCTAAAATTCATTGGAAATAAGATCCGAGCAAACGCAATGTAGTGAAAACGTGCGCTATTGTAAAAGTCAAAGCTTTTACGGCAATGCTTCTCCCACTTTCATCCCCCCTCCTTGTCCCCCTCTGACATCGTCTTGGTCGTCAGACAGCACAACACCGGTACAATTTAAAAATCTATTAAAAGTGGGATGGGATTTTCAAGTGTCGTATTTTCAAACTTATCTTGACGTTTTGCTTTTGATCCGCTTTTTTCTAGTTCAATGCTTTTATAACTCTATGCACGGATTTTTTTAATATTTTTAATTTGTTCTATGAGTAATTACTAATTATATAACCGAAAATACATAACACACTTGCATTATTATATTATATATAATGAAGGTTTAAAAAAATCAACTTCTATATTTTTTGGCCAGCTTTAGTCGTCATTTTGGCGTTCTTATTTTGTGACGTCACCAGAGGAATAATAACAACGAAGCGTCTTTTTCATAGATTTTAAAACTTTTTTGGCTATAAAATATTGAATTAATTAATTATAATAGCTTAGGTGTAAGGTCTGAAAATACATATATATGACATGATTTAAAATCCTTATACAAGATTTTCTAATCTAAATGTTCAGAATATTTATTACCTTAATGACATATAATTCTTCTGTGAGTGTGCATGTCAAGAACTTCTCTCATACAACTGGACCGATTTTGATGAAATTTTTTGTGTGTGTTCAAGGGGATCTGGGAATGGTTTAGATTCACAATTTTGTCCGCTGGATAATGTTTTTTTTTAATTAATTTTTTATTTTTTTTTTTTGAAATTAGATTTGACAACTAACTAATGTCAATAATTCTGTCGCACTTCAAAACACGGAGATTTATGGCTTTAATAGGTAAACTCGAAAAATATAAATAAAAAAACGTAACAGATATTTTTTGATTATAGGGCGATACGAAGTTCGCCGGGTCTTCTAGTATATATATAAAATTATAACAATTTATTAAAGAAAAACTTCAAATTCACGTATGCACGTTATTTTATCTCGCATAAAATACTAGTCCAATTAAAACAAAATATCGTGTGAAATGAAAAAACTGCCTTTATAAAAGAAAGCGTG